GTTGCAGGGTTGGTCATGTCAGCAGGGATTGTCGTTAGGGGGCAAGCCTGTTATGCTTTCACTGCAACCAAGTGGGCCACAAGAAGGTCGACTATCTGATGTTGAGGGGAGGACCAGTGAGTGCACCTGCTCCGACTACTTTGAGGATCACTGGTGGTCGTGAGGGTAGGAAAGGAGCCCTAGCAGAGAGGAGCCGAGCATTGCAGTGTCAGATAGGGAAGGTCAGGACTCCAGCAGGCGATATTGTTAGTATGTTGCCTTTTTCCTTCTCTTTGGTTATTTTCAGTAATTATTAGTTGGGTCGGTAAGGGGTTGTATTTTGTTGAGCGAGTTTCAGTGAGTTTGGTTGTTGTTCCAGTTCTTTATCGGGATCAATCCATGGGTATCGTTGGAAGGTCTATGGTCAGGATCAGCGGGTTAGTTCTCCAGTATAGTCAGGGTCCAGTGGTTTTAGCATTTGATCTGGTGGGATCGGCAATCGTCCGTGGAAGAACTTTGGGTTCAATCACTACCGTTGATAGGGAAGGAGCGGTAGCAAGAAAATAGTGATGGCAATCGCATGAGCTTGGTTGGCCACTGGGAGTGCCGGGGGAAGTGATCAATTCCTAGGTTTTGGTCTTTGTCACCAGCATAAAGGACTTCAGGATTTCGGCGCTGTATCTTTGAAAGCGTTTGGGGTTGTCGAATTTACTTAGTTTTCGGGGAGTGTTTATATGGATTTCAAGAATTATGCGGGCATTGGGATGGGCTAGTGATGGAAAGCTAGTTTTAGTAAGTGCATATTGTCGGCGGTTAGACCATGAGTAGGAAAGATGGATTAGGAATTCATCAAACTTTGTGGGCTGGGAGAACTTCGTCGAATCAAAGTGGAGAGAGCTATTAAGATTCCCGAGAGTGGAATTAGACGTGAAACTCGGATGAGTTTCACATCCCCGTCGGGAGGGAGGCGGCCCAAGTGGCCATATGGATTTGAGGATTGTGTAAGTTGGGAGTTCAAGAAGCTTCCCAACAGTTGGTTAGCGCCTTCTTAGTGATGGATAGCAGACTTTTGATGGACCCAGGTTGGGGTTCCAAGCATGACCCGAGCCCCGATTTGGGCGCATAGTCTGCTGCATGTTCGACTCGGGATGAGTATGGATGGATTTATAGATGAGCGGTAAGACCATGGGCAGTGGCCATGGCAAGATAGGAGTGTTATAAGACTGCGGGGTGGCCCGTAGCCTTCACTAGGTTGGCAGATAGTGTAGGAGTGTTGTTAGACTGAGGTGTGGCCCGTAGCATTCACTTGGTTGGCAGATAGCGTAGGAGTGTTGTAAGACTGTGGGGTGACCCGTAGCATTCACTAGGTTGGCAGATAATGTAGGAGTGTTGTAAGACTATAGGGTGGCCCGTAACATTCACCGGTCCTTGTACAGCGATGAGGGTGTGGCAAAATCCAGGATTGGTTATGGATTTCTTTAGATGGATTAGACCAGGGTTGGTCGGTTTGTAGAATTATGAGAAGGACACAACATTCATGGAATTAGGAAAGTGGTAGGCCGTTGGAGGCCGGTTGTGATATAAGACTACAGTTGGTCATGTAGCTTTCACTCTTAGCATGGGATTTGGTGGCGCCAGTTGGATCGTGTTGTTATGATCGGTTGGATCAGAAAGATTGTTGGAGCCATAAGTGGTGAGATAGCTAGGGAAATTATTGCTAGATGAGGCTTTTATTCGGAAGTCGCGTGGGGCGACTGTGTGTCTATTTGAATAAAAAACCGAGCGAGAATCTGATGAATCGGTTAGTTGGCAGGTAAGTTGGGACCAGGGAGGTCTCGGCTGCCTTTAGGAAGCAGCTAGGGGGATTCAAGATGAGTCGAGGCAGTATTAGTGATTTGGAAAACCGTGTGTGGAGTCGCTTGTTATAGGGGGAATATGCTAGTCACTTGCAGCATTGGATTAAACAATCTCAAAGTAATTGATTTGACCCTGTTGCACAGCTCTCGTCTGAGTCTAACCGTTGCAGGGATGAGTCTTCTACTCGAAGGATTATCTGAGCCTTCTATCAAGTATAAGTGTTCTGCAGCGATACATGATCAGTGATTTTGTTCCCAATATAAGCATCAAGTAAATCAAGGGTTGGAAGCGTTTTGTTTAAGTTAGACTTCAATGAGGATTTGGCCTGGTAATGGCTCGGTATGGGCGGTCTGTCGGGGAGTCAGACCAATTCCAAATTTCAGGTTTCGGGAAAGTAGAGGTGGTTTTCTGCATGGTATGAAGGATCCGTTCTTCATCGGGTTGGAGAGTTACTGCTAGGGTTGGGTTCGGTCGCCTTTGGGATGGTTGTAGTATGCGTGGGGTTGTGATTGTGTTGTTCAAACTGTATGGTGTGTCGGGAATGATAAGGAATTATTTTGAGGACGAAATCTAATTTAAGTAGGGGAGAGTTGTAACGCTTGGAAATGGAGATGTTCCTTGTTGCCCTTCGAAATTGAAAGAATTGTGTTTTGTCCCTTGTAAGTAGTACGCGGGGCGAACAACAGGTTACGCTTGGCGTACTAGCTGAGAAGCTAGTACGCGGGGCATACCTGTATGTACTCTTAGCGTACTAGTGGATGTTGGTCGCGGGTCTGTAGCCTCGTACGCTGGGCATACGAGGAGTATGATGGGTGTACGAGGGGGAGGTAAGAAAACCCTAATTTTTCAAGTTGTACTCTATATAAGCCATATGTTCTCCATGACATGCTTTTGGTCATTTTGGTCCTTTAGGTTGGTGATTGGGAATTAAGGACGTTTTTGGAGCTTAGCCTTATAGATCTGGACATGTTAAGGGTTTCTTGTGCATAAATGTGCAAACTTTATGGTGGTTTTGGTCTCATGCATGTATTAAGTCATTTATTAAGCTCCTTTGAGCTCTAAAGCCCCATTAAGCCATGCATGCACATAAAGTTGGCAACTTTATGTGATTAACCACCATGGGGAAGTCAGATCTGAGCTTGGATCAAAGTCTTAATGGAATAAGATCTGAATTGGAAAAGTTAGCCATGATTGGTGAGTACGCTTTCATGCAGTACGCTGAGCGTACAGGCTGAGTACACCCCGCGTACTCAGCGGACTTGGGTTTCTTTGTTTTGAGCTTCGACTTTGGGCTAGGATGGGCTTGGTTGTCTTGGGCCATGTTGGGCTATCTGGATTTTATGGTTGGGCTATTGAGAATTTATTAGACTCTTTTGGGTGAAGGCTCATGAAAGGGATTGGGCCCAATTTGGAAAATCGGGCCATATTTGGGCCTTGAGTGCTTGTGGTAGATTTTGGGCTTTTGGGTCATCTAGATTGGGCCTTGGACTTAGGCCAAGTTAGAGGAATGGTAAAAAGATCTTGTACCCATATTTGGACTCTTAGTGTGAGTTAGGATTTAGTTATTGATGGCTTGTCATTTTGGTATTTGATAGCGCGTGGATTTTAGCGGATCTGCAGTTAGATTTTTATCTGTGGGTTTCAGCTGTCTGAGGTGAGTCTCCTCACTGTACTATTGGGTCGAAGGCATCAATGCCGCCCTATTGGTTTATCTATTATAGGAAGACCAGCGTGTAGTCCTTGGCATTTGTATGAAAGACCAGGAGGTGGCTCCTGGCAAATCTGTATGCAAGACCAGAGTTTGAACTCTGACAGTTAAGTAGATAAGTAGTTGTAGTTTGTATGCTAGTTGTATTTGTGATGCTTGCATGGAAGACCAGGAGGTGGATCCTGGCACTTGTCTGTTTAGACAACCCACTTATATATATATATATATATATATATATATATATATATATATATATATATATATATATATATATATATGGAGAATTCCGTATCTACCCTTATTAAACAACTAAATATCGTATTTGTCCGACCTAAACTCTAAATATCATATTTGTCCTTATTAATGTTTTAAAATATCAAATTTGTCTAAATCTATTTTTTTAATAGTTTTTATTATATAATAATCTTTTTCTATAATTTTAAATCATTATTATTGTCAAAAACACTATATCGACAATAATGCCCTTACCATTTAAACACTATATCGTAGTCCTCCTTTCCCTATTGCACCTTTCTTCTTGCAAACAACTATTCACAGCAGGTACTTGTAATTATTCCATATTCCTATTTGTCATCTCTTCATCGCACTTCATGCACTACAAGAAAAATCTTAAATAGCTACGGAAAGTTGCTACGGAATCAAAATTCATAGCTATTCTACTACGAAATATGCTACGTAATGACTTATCATAGTTATGTTGCTACGGAAATGGCTACGGAATTGCATTGCGTAGCTAAATCTTGAATAGCTATGAAAAGTTACTATGGAATCAAAATTTGTAGTTATTCTACTACGGAATATGTTACGGATTGGCTACTTGTAGCTATTTTGCTACGCAAATAGCTACGAAGTTGCATTTTCGTAGCTAAATCGCGAATCACTACTGAAAGTTGCTACGAAATCAAAATTTGTATCTATTTTACTACGATATATACTACGGAGTTGTTGGTCGTAGCGAGTTCGTTATGGAACTTGTTACGAAATCCATATATTTAGTTAGTTGGCTACATCATTATCTACACAATCAAAATAGGTAGCTAGTTGGCTACGGAAGTGAAATCCGTAGCTATTTTGTTATGAAAATTGTTACAAAATAAAATTTTGTAGCTAATCTACTATGTAACTTGTTACGAGAAGCTTGATCGTAGATATTTGTGTATAAAACTTGTTTTCAAATTTGCAAAAACTACGAAATCAAAATCCATTGGTATTTTACTACGGAATATTTCGTAGTAAGGTAGCTATAGAATATGTTTCAGTAGCAAAATATAGAAATTTCTATAACCTATTCATATACTCTATTAATGGGCTAGGCTATGTACAGTAGAATTCTTGCTGTTTCCACATTAGTCACCAATTTTTTATAGTTTACATTTACTACCTCTGACTATTTTGACCTCCCTTTTTCCCTAAATCGATTGTTTTCCTTTTGTCTCCGTTATCGTCCGTCCGCGTTGGTCTGTTAGCGGGATCAATGGGGACACGCGTCTGTTGTTCTTCGTTTGCGTCAACACTTCTTCCGATTAACGCTCTCTATCTTCCGAAGAAGAACACCGCCTTGTGTACTCTATTATACGCTACTTCAAACCACCGCTATCGATCACCTTCAACAATCGGTCGTCGGATTTTATCTCAAGTTACACATCTTCAACAATCTTTAAGGTAGCTTCAACATCTTTCTTTTTTAATTTTGTTTTAGGGCATGTTGGTGTGTGAAGACTATGAGTTTCTACAGCTCTTCCACCGCATCATCTGCGAATTCTTCTTCTCTATCTTCTATTCCACTTTACCAATGAAAATCTGTTTCTCTTTTCTACTTAGTCGTGCATGGAGATGAGGCGGAACGAAAACCTAGAGGGACGATGAAGGTCCTCTTTGCCGGTGTCGCCAGAAACGTCAACAATGACCGCTCCTCTCCGAGAATCGTCGGCCTCCACCACTTCCTGTCATCTTCGCCGTCCTCTACACATCCCGGAAATCGACGTTCAGTAGGCTCATCTATTTCACACAAAATGGTAGGTGAAACACACACACGAACACATATGTCAACAGTCGGCGTCTAGGCGTTGAAGGCGTGGTTTGTTTTCTGGTATCATGCTCCCAATCCTTCCTCCTCGACCTGAAACTCGTTTGTGTTTCTCTGCACTTCTTTTTGTCTATATTTGTGTCAGACATCATTTGGTCTATTTCGTATTTTTTAAAATCAAATCGATTTTCTGAATCAATATGATTTTGATTTTGGGAATTAGTTTTCACTTTTCAATTAGTTTAGTTATGATGAATTGATCTTCTGAATCAATATGATTTTCAATTTGGGAATTGCTTTCCAATTACGTGAGTTATGATAGTGACAAAAACCCATCTGTCAATAGAATTTTATGGGGACTAAAAGAGACTCAGTTAGGCTTATGTCAAGTTTTGGAAAACCATACATTGGAGGTGATCCGATTGAAATTTTGATTCACATGAATGTTTATAATCTTACCTCCATGAATGAATATGTTTATTGACTTGGCCTCTACGTTTAACATTATGGTGTTCAAGGTTTGATCTATTTCAGTTAATTTCATGAATTAAGAAGGTTTTGACTATTTAGGATGATCAAGGAGAATCTGATGAAACTGGTAAAGGAGGTTATGTTTATCATATGCCTATAACCTGTTTGTTGAAATGCTTCAAAGAAGTTTCATATTCAGGAGCCCACTAATTGGTGGATATGCTCTTATTAGTTACAATATATCTCATATCTTCGTCTTCTTCTTTGAAATTTGGGTTCTTGGTTTAGTTTCTCATTTTTTTTACTCTTTTTATTTCCCATGCGAGTTTCACGGAGAATAGGTTGTACAAATGGATCCTTCTTTGCAGGTGTGCCTACTGCGGTATGCTTTTATACATTAAAATTCTAATTTTACGTAAAAGAATTGAAATTTCCTCTTTATTTTTTCATCAATTTCGAAAAATCAAATACTATTTTTTGGATTTACATGATTTGTGGATCGGCGGTACCATTGCCTTACAGGACTTGAGTTCATTTTGTTTCAATTTTTTTTCCACAGATCAATTCCAGATTAGTATGCTGAAAGCAAAAATAAATCCATGACAATCATAAAACATAAAACTGTCTCCATAATAGTAATTAGTAACCAACAATATCTCAACTCATGTTTTAATCAATAATTTATGTACTTCTCTTTTACTTGCAAAGCCAATAAAAGAGGAAATTGTATCCAATTTTAGGGCCAATGAATCAGATTAAGAGAAAAGTAGCCAACTTTTATTTTATTGTTTCAGTGAAAGCGATAACAACTTTTTCTTCTGGAAGATAATACTTTTGTGTTGTAGTCGTCGGTTTAAATCAACAATCATACATGGTTTTTCCTTTTTCTGATTTTTAACGTATTTTTTGTTGAACAAAGTTTCGCTCTGATGTGCAATTCTCTTATGCTGAACAGACTGAATAGCATTTTCATCTTCTGCAATTTTAGCAACTCTGAATGGACAAACTATTGTTAGTAATGGAGAAGTAAATTTTTTTTACCTACATTTTATTCCAATTTTTTTTTATTAAATCTCATAAATTAATAATGTATTAATTATTACATATGACTAGCTAACTTCATATTTTTTTAATTTCAGTGTGAACTCATCTGCAGATCATTCAAGCTCTAATTTGGCTCAACAATTCCTAGGGATGTGGTTTTTCTCTTTTTATGGGTTTATATGGGCTTATGGTTATGGCTATTGTTTTTTCTACTTTCTAAAACTCTTTCGGAATTTTTTTCGGTAGTTATTTGAAAACTAAGGTCATTTGACAACATTGTGGTTATACCTTAGAAAGAGTTGTGGACATTCTCTTGCTACATTCCTGCTTCTTTTTTCACAGAGGAAAAAGACGATTCTTTCAGGGGTTGTTGGTAGCTTAATCCTGCAATGCTTAAAGGTATTTCTTTATTCTAAGATTGAATTTTAATCAAGTTGATTGTAAATTTGATTTTGTAGGTTTTGCCATTTTGATTGAGCATATGTTGTTGTCTGTGTGTTCATGGTGGTTCAAATCCAAACCGTGTGATTGTATTTGTTATTAATATACAATATTGATGATTAGACAACCTTGTAGAAGAATTTTCGATGAAGTAATATATCTATAAAATTGATGTAACCATTAAATTTATATTTACTACTTTTTTATATATTTTTATGAATATTATAATTGGAATATTGGATTTTGTTGAATATTTTTATCATAATAAATTTGCACCCCGAACCTATTGTTATGGAAAAAATTTCTATGAAACTAATGGCTATGAAATTTGCTAGGGAACAAATAGCTACAGAATTTGCTACGGACCAAATGACTTGGAATTTGCTACGGACCGAATGACTACGGAATTTTCTATGGAACAAATAGCTACGGAATTTGCTACGGACCAAATGGCTACGAAATTTGTTACGGAACGAATGGCTACGAAATTTGTTACGGAACGAATGACTACGGAATTTGCTACGGAACAAATAGCTACGGAATTTGCTACAGAATCCATTGTTACGGAATTGTGATAGAAGTGTGTTGTAGTTGAAATGCTACGGATAGACGTCGTAGCAACGACCGTAGCAAAATTGCTACGGAACTATAATTCCGTAGTTAAACATTTTGCTACAAGAAATCTTACTATGGAATATTATTGGCAAATTTCGTAGCAACTTCTGTAGTTATTTAGGTTTTGCTACGGAATTTTAGCTTTTTGTTACGGAATTTTTCCGTAGTTAAACCGAAATTTTCTTATAGTGATGCTTTTGATCAATTTTTACTAAGCTAATAAGTATCAGGTAATTATGATTACTATTATTTATGTTTGCGATTGATCATAAACCCCTGGAATCTTGAATGTTGGAAGACAGTATATCTAAACTGAAAATATTGAAACTATTTTGTAAATATTGAAACTATTTGGTTTTACCAAGTTAATAAGCATCAGGTAAACATAATTCCTAGTATTAACAAATAATCTGGTATATACGAAATTATATATATATATATATATATATATATATATATATATATATATATATATATATATCATTACCTATATGTTAAAGGTTTGAACTTTGGTCCACGTAGACTATTACTTCCCTCCACCAATCGAAAGGTTTCTGGGCGGCCTCTTTTAACGTATTTGGAGGTCAGAACCTTTGTTGCCTGTCTCAAGCGAGGTGTTGTTGATTCACATTCCCATCTTGTCGGTGGTGTATCCGGAAAGCTGCTTGCCACCTACTGCTTTATTTGAAGCGCAGATGCAATGTGCCCTCTCCGCTTATGCTTCCTTGTCGAGTCACCCTCTATTAAAGACCTCCAGTCGCCACCTCATGCTGTGGTTTTGAAGGATCGATATTGAATTCAATATATACCGGCTTCATCTCCTTTTGCTTTCCGTAAGTCGTTTCAACCTCGAATCAAAACTACAAGATTGGGGAATTTTTGTTTTGTCTGTTCAATGTTTCTTCTTTGAATCGTTTACTGCCACCTATTGTAACATCATCGTTTCATCCAGGTATAGTGTTTACCTATTTTCTTTTATTTGTTGAATCAAATTGTCAAAAAAAATACAGCCTCCTGCTAATTTGAAGAACACGAAGATGCCTTGTACTGGGGTGACGAATCTGTAAATTTGTGCTCCAATCATCGATATATATATACCACGTCCTTTCTCAGGGATAGCTGGGGTGAAGTTTTCATCTATCGGTTGTATAAGATATGTGGGATTTCAAATTTTCATGTCGCTAGCTTGGACTTTTCTTTGGTCCACCACATGTTCGATGAAATGCTTAAGAGAATAATATTGGCCTCAACCTGATCACAATGAATCCAATTTTAAGTCTTGACTTGAGGTATATCCACATGGTGGAAACTAGAAAAGTGAACGTGGTGTACTGCGTTCAAACATTTCCCCAGCTAAACACTTCCTACCTACTATCCTTCTCTGTTGATTGCAGCTCACATTTGGGGTTTTCATTAAAATTAGTTTTCCCCAGTATCATCTGTTATTCAGATTGACTTTTTATTTGATGGGTCTTATTGTAGAGTCAACTCAGGGGCTATTTTGAAGGATATTGAATTCAATATATACCGGCTTCGTCTCCTTTTGCCATACTGAAGTAATCGAATTTATTCTCAGCTTGCCAACTGTTTCTTCTTTCATTTGTTTATTACCACATGTTGTAACGACAACACTTCATCGAGGTATAGTGTTCAACTATATTCTTTTATTTCTTGAATCAAATTGTAAAAAACAACCCTAACCTCCTTCTAATTTGAAGAACATGAAGATGCCTTATGTATGGTCATGGATTTATTACAGGTGTGAAATTATACAGGTTGAAATTGTATCCTTCTTGATTTATCAATCAGTTTCTATATCTCCTTCTTCTCCTCTTTCTCATGAAGGTACTCATTTAATTTACATTTTTTCATTTTGAACTTTTGAATTTTACTTAAGAGTTGGATTTGTGTATTGCTTTGTGACCGACAATATACAATAATTATTTGTACTAAATAGATGAGTTTTGGGTTGCTTTTTTTTTTCAGTTTAATTTACTTTCACAATCACCTATTTCAATTAAATTTATTTATTTTTGTCTATATACTTTAATATTTTTTTCAATTTTTGGTACCAAATAAATTTGGCCTTTATTTTTATTTTACCTATTTTCTTTGCTTAGTTCCTCCAATAAAGAGAACTGTGCCGGCAGTTTTAACATATATGTCGATATAGTTTATTTTTTTCCAATTTTCGGTCCGATTGATGCCTCTTTTTTGTGGTCCTTTTTTTCAATTTTCTCTTTAATCAATTTATTTTATTTATCATCCTTACTTTTCTTTTATTCTTACGTAATAAATTTTGGCTTTATTTTTATTTTACCTGGTGTTTATCCCAAACAATTTTCTTCCCCCACAAGTAATTTTGGATATTTGTAGTTACACCGCCTTTACTCATGCTACGTGTTGCCGCTGTATGTTGTATAGGGTATGGTCCAATTAAAGTAACATGTTTATCTTTTTGCCCAATTAAATCAATTGGTATTCATTGTTTTAGATATTTATTTATTTGTTGTTTTTTTTACTTTTCACATTACGAGAGCTTCCTTTCATATTCTTCTAAGATCTGCGTACTTATTATGAGGGTTTATAAGGGTTCGAATTACTTGTGCAGTTTTTTACACATGCTGATTAGGTGGACCTAAGGTAAGAAGTATTATTATGTTTCTTCTTTTACCCTGATTTCAAATGGTTTCGTTATTATTTTTACAAAGAATGGTATCTGATTTGCTAAAGGTCTATACAAATTTCTTATTCTAATGGGTTATGCTATTTTTTTGGTTAGTAATATTTGTTTTGTTGCTTATATTCTCCTTAAAATTTTCATTTTTTTTCTTGTAGATTATCGTCTTCAGGCTTATCTTATGATCAGGTGTTGCCTTCTTTTCATCTGAAATGTCTTCAAATATGTTATTATTAGTTACAGATGATGACTGTTTAGTTTCTTATTGCATATCTATATTCATCTGTTCTTTCTCATTGAAAAGGTTGATAAATCTATCATGAAGGATGTTCAGCCTTCTTTGGATTTTGAGAATAGGAAAGCTTATAGGAAACGTGCTATTTTAAGATGGAAACAGCAAAGAGTTGAACGGAAAAAAAATTACATAAGGAAATCTATTTCAAAGCAAGAAAATCGTAAAAATAAGCATAATATTGCTGGTCATGCAACAGGTAGAGCTCTATTAAAGTTCGTTCCTGTTGTTGCTGATATCTTACCTTACGTTCCTGACTGTCATCATTGTGGTGCTTTAAAGTTCTATTCAGAAACATCGGGTTTTTGCTGTTTAGATGGCAGTGTTGTCTTGTATAGTAATCATCTTCCAATAGTCATGATTGAACTTCTAACTTCAGACTGTCACGAAGCAAAGGTTTTTAGAACATATATTAGAACATATAATAACCATTTCGCTTTTACATCCTTAGGTGTTACATCTAATCCTAATTTCAATAAGAGAGACAGTGGGATTTATACTTTTAGAGTTCAAGGTCAGATGTATCATTTTATAAATGGTTTATACTCTGAGAATGACCGGCATAAAAATCTGCAATTATATATTCATGATACTGAACATGAGATCCAAAATAGGTTAATGGTTTGTCCACTGATATGTGAAACTCTGGTTCAGAAGTGTATAAAATATCTTCAACATAATCCATACGCTTATTTTTTCCGCAGTTTGAAGAATATTGGAGACTTGGATACTTATAAGATTGTTCTTAAAACTGTTGCTGTTCAAGACCAAAGAGTCTATAATAAACCCGATGTGTCACAGGTTGCTGCAATTTGGGTAGACGGTGAAGATAATGGGGAGTGTGGTCCAAGAGATATCCGAGTTACAACCCATGAAGCTGACTCTAGAAATATAAAGTATTTTTATGGCTGTTATGATCCTCTGCAGTATCCTTTAATGTTTCCTTTAGGAGAACTAGGCTGGCATCAAGGTATTTTAAAAAAAAATAAAACAACCCCAGTTAGAAAGCAGGGTTTGCATTCGGCTGCAGAAAAACTTATTGCTCCTGGTAGTATAGCGCGTGCGGATGACTTATTAAAGATGGAAGAAACTGGTAACATACTTACTTTTTCTATTTTTATATTTTTTTGGGCTAACTTTATTGTGCTTTACTTCTTTTCTCTTTTTATACAGTGCTTGGAAGAAAAGCAGATAACCCCAGGGTTGTATCTGTTAGAGAGTATTATGCTTATAAGCTTCAGATAAGGCATAATGACACAACTTTTTTACTCTATTTTGGTAGATTACTACAACAATATATAGTTGACAGCTACGTTAAATTAGAAACGCAAAGACTAGATTTTTTTAGGACACAACAGGAAGAAATAAGACAAGAATTCTTGCAAGGAGTTGTGGATGCAATGGCAAAAGGGGAAACAGATGGTTCTGCTATTGGTAGAAGAATAGTATTACCTTCTAATTTTATTGGTGGCCCTAGAAACATGAGACAAAAATATGTAGATGCAATGGCCTTGGTACAAAAGTTCGGTAAGCCTGATATTTTTTTAACTATGACATGCAATCCTAATTGGCCTGAAATAAAAGAAAATCTTAAACCATATGAAGAAGGCCAAAATAGAGCTGATTTGATTGTTAGAGTTTTTCATGCTAAAGTAGAACAACTTAAACATGAACTTTTCAAGAATAACATTTTCGGCGAAATTTGTGCTTACACTTACGTTATAGAATTCCAGAAAAGAGGACTTCCACATGCACATTTTTTGCTTATCTTAGAAAGTAACTGTAAAATGCATACACCTGAAGACTTTGACAAAATTGTTTCTGCAGAAATACCATCACAAAGTGCAAATCCTCATTTGTTTAGGATGGTTGTTCAACATATGATTCATGGTCCATGTGGCTCTTTAAATCCTTTTAACGTATGTATGAAAAAGAAGGGTTCTTGTAAAAATCTTTACCCAAAAGACTTTTCTTCTCACACTATTCAGACAGACGATGCATATCCTATATATCGTAGACGTAACGATGGGTCTGAAGTGAAAGTCAGAGGTGCTATTCTTAATAATAAATGGGTTGTTCCGTATAATGCCTATTTGCTTTGTAAATTTAACTGTCACATTAATATAGAAATTTGTTCATCAATAAAGGCTGTGAAGTATATATATAAGTATATTTGTAAAGGTTCTGACAAGATAAGCTTTAATATTTCTCCAGTTACAAACTCTGTCCTTATAAATGAGATTAATGAGTATCAATCAGGTCGATGGGTCTCTCCTCCTGAAGGTGCATGGAGAATTTTTAAATTTCCTTTGGGTGAAATGAAACCAGCTGTTATTCATTTGCCCTTGCATTTAGAAAACTATCAGCCTTTGACATTCAAACGTAAATCAACTTTGGTTAATATTCTGAGTAACTCTGGTAAAAGAAAAACTATGTTGACTGAATTTTTTGTTGAAAATGATACAGGAATTTTAGCAAAAAAGCTTAAGCTCACATACAATCAGTTTCCTGATCATTTTGTTTGGAAGGGGGATAAAAATATGTGGTCACCCCGGCAAATAGGTGACTCAATTGGTCGTATTGTGATTGCCCATCCAACCGAAGGCGAAAGGTATTATCTTAGAATTCTTTTGTCTAGAGTTCGCTGTCCAAAATCGTTTGCTGATTTAAAAATGATTAACGGGGTAACTGTTGCTACCTTTAGAGAATCTGCTTTGTTACGTGGTTATTTACTTGACGATGCTACTCAACAAGTATGTATGCAAGAAGCTTCTACTTTTCATATGCCATATGAGTTGAGAAGGCTTTTTGCTTCACTTTTGGTTTTTACCTGTCCAAATGTCCGCGCAAGTTGTGGTTATTATTTGAAGATGCAATGATGGAAGACATTTTACGCCACCACAAAGAGACACGCAAAGAATCTAATGCCCGTGCATTTAAAGAGATTGATTGTTTTCTGCAGTCAATGGGAAGACGTCTTCACCAGTTTGATGTTCTACCCCAAAATTCATTTGATCGTTTAATGGAAGACGACACTAGAGAGATTAAAACAGAAAAAAGTATTGTTGTTTCCGCTGAAGATTTGGCTGCAATATATACTCTTAATAGAGAACAGAAGGTTGCTTTTGAAATGATAATGGATGCAGTTAGCTGTAATAAACCTGCTTGTTTCTTTATCGATGGTCCAGGTGGCACTGGCAAAACATTCTTATACAGAGCTTTATTGGCTAAAATTAGATCTGAAGGTCATGTTGCTTTGGCTACAGCTACATCAGGTATTGCAGCATCGTTATTGCCCGGTGGCAGAACAGCCCATTCACGTTTTAAAATACCTTTGGATGCGGCTGAAGGGTTTGTATGTAATGTTAGTAAACAAAGCTCTTTAGCAGTGTTGATTAGGATTTGTAAGTTGATTATATGGGATGAGGCTCCAACAGCAAAGAAATCTGCAATTGAATCCTTCGATAGTCTACTTAGAGATATAATGGACTGTTCAGCTACTTTTGGTGGTAAAGTTGTTGTTCTTGGTGGTGATTTTAGACAAACTCTTCCTGTTGTTAGGCTAGGAAGTAAAACACAAACTATTTCTGCTTGTTTAACTAATTCTTATTTATGGCAATCTCTTACCCATTTGCAGCTAACAGAAAACATGCGAGCTCTATTGGATCCTTTTTTTTCAAGTTTCCTTTTGGCACTTGGTAATGGTGTAGGAACTCTTACAGACGATGCAGTTGTTTCTCTGCCATCATCAATGCTCATTCAGGGTTGTAATGATGTTAACGGTTTGGAAGCTCTTATGAAATATGTTTATCCTAACATTTTTGTTACTCCTGCCACTTTCTCTCCCACTTGTAATCGTGCTGTTCTAACAACTAAAAATACTTTTGTAGATGAGATTAATGATACTTTGATATACAAGTTGCCTGGAGAAGAGATTGAATATTTTAGTCTTGATGAGACTATTGATCCAAATGATCAGGCCCAGTATGAGGATTTACTTCATTCCTTAACACCAAATGGTATGCCACCTCATAAACTTGTTCTTAAGTATAATGCTCCAATTATTTTGTTGAGGAACATGAACCCGTTTGAAGGTTTATGTAATGGTACTAGACTTTTCTGTAAAGATTTTCAAAGGAATGTTATACGTGCAGAGATAAGCTATGGAGAATTTGCTGGAAAAGAGGTTTTGCTTCATAGAATTCCATTACAGCCACCAACAGGAGAACAATATACAGTTCCATTTAAAAGATTTCAGTTCCCAATTAGATTGTGTTTTGCAATGACCATTAACAAAGCGCAAGGTCAAACACTTGATTATGTTGGCATTTACTTGAAAGAACCTGTTTTCTCTCACGGTCAGTTGTATGTAGCACTTTCGAGAGCAAAAAGTTTAAACAGTATTAAGGTTTTTATAACCGGATCTGCATATGGTAGCTCAAATAATATAACAACTAAGAATATCGTCTATAAAGAGATTTTACAACATGCTCATCAACTGTCAACGTACGTACTTTTCCTACAACTTCCTCTTATTTTTCTTTTATTCATATACCCATTTAATATTCTTTTTACAACAGGTAGCTGTTAATCTCTGCAACTAAAACACAGGATGCATGGTATTTCATTGCTTTTCAATGAAAAAGGTCAGCTACCTTTTATCAATCGATTTGAATATAAGATAATTTTTTGTAAACATCTTTGTATTCACATTTTACGATATCCTTAATCTTTACTCTATTTCTCAGTTCAGTTTTATTAAACATCTTTACATAGTATCTTTTAGGATCTCCCTCGGTTTCATGTTTTACAAAAACAATTAACCTCATTGAAATCAATTTGAACATGACAGTCTTTCTTGCTTTGCATGTGAATATATATGTGTTTACTTTCTTACAGGCTGTAATCTACTCACACAGTATCGAAACCACACCCCTCTGGAACAGTATTCAATCAGGAAGTGACAAAACTTCACCAACAAGATGAAATCTAAACATTAGATCAGGAGATTAGGTAGACTATATCATATATTTAAATATGTAAATCTTCTAATGTTATGTAACATTTTAAAATTAGAATGGGGTATATTTGTTATGTATTGATGCCTATTAATTTTTTGTTTTTAAAGAATGTTTTGTTTATGTGTATTTTAGATTATTGGATATCTTACTCTTAGCATAGGGTTGTATGTTCTGAAAATTAAAATTTTTTTTATCAGGCAAAAATTTATTAGACTTCTCTCACATTTGAATTTGAACTATAGGCCGTGTATATTTATTTGGTAACTTTAATATTTGCAGTCATATGACAAAATTTTTCTTTATTTAAAATTAAGTTTAAACTTTTACTTTACAACAGATTTTCTTTCCTATATTCCTATTTACAATTTTAGAGGAATTTTTTCATTTATCGTAATAATAATCCGTTTACCATCATTTAGAGTTTAGGGGCCCAATTGTATGTTTTTTAATGGGTATTGTAAAACGATTTCTGTAAATTTTCTACACTTATTTATTCACAATTTAGGAGCCAACTTAGAGTTTCTAAAATCTCACCTCATAAGTATAACGATGGGGCAAACAGAGGTATTCTCATCTCAATAGATTATTGTTCACACCTGCCATCTCCACATAATTCTGATTTACTAGGTCGCACGTGGCCACTATTATTGTTCATGATGTCTGTTTAGATAGACAGAAAATGCAAAAATTGATCTATTTTCTTTCAGTGTTTTTGTCCTTATGACGTATCTTATGTGTTGGTTTATCAAATCTGATGACACGCAGTCAAAGACAATTCCAATTACATGATCTATTTAGATAAGTATAAACAATCTATCAGTCATACCTTTGTTTTCGATGTGCTGTTAGCCAACAACATCTGTTATTTTTTATTACTTCAGATATTTACACGTGGATTTTTAATATCTAAATTTTACACGTAAAATTTTTTTACCTTATATATTTACTGTTATTGTTGATCAATTTCTTAAGAAGAAAATCTGTACATGTTTGATCCGGTAAGTTTACCTAATTGTTATCAAGAGTCGTTCTCCATTTTTTTCATTTTATTAATTTACCTACATGCCTCTTGACAATTTTTACAAATTTTTATGTTGCAGTTAAAGAAACATGTCTACACAGCTTACTCCGATTATGGAAATCAATCAGGCAACTCACAACCGGTGGACAACCCTTGTACAAATCTTAGAATGTCAGCACGTTTTGCAAACTAAAAAAGGGTCTTCTTACAAACGACTGATGTTAACAGATTCTGAAGGCTTAAAGTTCACAGCAATTATTTACAGTGAGAATTTACATTACTATGCAAGAACATTCACACAATACAAGAGGTATCGCATCTCAAATGCGTTTGTCATCCCATGTGATCCAAGATATGCAGTTAGCTTATATGAATTTTCATGGGTGCTCAATAAGCGAACGCTTGTACAAGAACATCCTGATCGCAATCCGGTGAATTTACCTTGTACTTTTGAATTCACTCCATTTACGAGGCTCCATGAACATGCTGAATCAGACCATCTTCAAAGTAAAATACCTTTTCTACTTACCTAACATATATTTTTTTTAATTATCAACTATATATATATTTGTATTATGTAGATGTCAGAGGCATCGTTGTGCGATGTTTGCCCAGTTATGAAGAAGGTTCTGACCTTGTCAGTCGGAGAGATGTGATTATCATCAACGAAGAGTATAAAATTCTTATCACACAATAATCTATTACCTATTACTTATATACATTACTTTGATTACATTACAATTTTCTTTTATAGAAAACTGCCTTTGGTGATCACTCTGTGGAACCAATTCGATGAACATGAGGGTAATATGTTGCAGTCAATGCAAGGCCCACCCCCTTTGTTCTTTGGACTGAGGCTGAAAGTCACAACTTTTAACTGTAATTTATTTACCTTTTTACTAAATATTATTTTTTTTATTATAACAATAAAACCTCATTTATTGTACTGATTACAAAAAAATGGAAACAGCCATCTCTTTAACAACGAAGCCAAATTCAGGTTTGCTTATCAATCCACCGGTTAGTGACAACTTGCAATTACGCACCTGGTATTACTTATGCTATTCATACCATATTTTTTTCTTCAAATTATTAAATAACTTCCATTTTTATTTATCTTCCTTTATACACTATTACATCTATCTGACAAAATTAGGTACAATAACAACCGCAAGGAAATAAATGACTTGCTATCAGTCACAAACTACCGAAGAAACTATTTCCTTCTACCATATCCAGCTGAAACAAACATATCTTCTATTCTTTCTGCAACTTCACGTTTCGACACTGTAAGCTATTTTTCGACTTTAAAAAATTCATTTTTACAATTATGTTTCATATGTAATTTGTTTCAGCTACACTTACATTACATATAAAATAGATGAAAACTGCTTGGGTGAAAGGCACCCTGAGTCTTCCTGAACAAGAACGTAACTTATCATACACTGCCTGTTCCAATTGCTTCAAGTCTATAGAAGCCGACACAACTTGGATTGTTACCTGTCCTTCTTGTCACATCGAATCAGAAATTCAACAGATGTAAGCATGAATGTTCTTTTACTCACTTCTTAAAATATTTTTTTCTTACCTATTAAATTTCCTTTAGGTCAAGGTTAACTGTTTTGATTGCCGATGAAAGTGGAGTGATGAAAGCAAATTTACACACACCTGAAGTTGAAAAGTTTATACCTTTCTCTCCAAAAGATGTGCAAATCAGTGAAGAAACTGTAAATACACATTTTATCTAACCTTGTAAAACATGTCAGGTTATAATTATATAAATTCTTTTTAACATTTGTTAATGTGTAATAGGGTGAGACTCTATGCAATTCCATTGCCATTGCAATCAACTCTGTTTATATTGTTGCTTTCGTTCGTGCATACGAAGTGCATTTTCAAGGAACAACAGACATCAAAGTGAATATTGTTAAAGCTTACAAAGTAAATGATCCTGCTGCTGTGTCAAATGAGTCTGATAACATGGTCCATAGATCAAACATCGGTGAAGGCACATCAACAACCAAAAATGTGTCTTCTGTTGCAGCCACAGTTCCTTTGCCATCGGCTGCTGAAATTGAAAAACCTGTTGAAGTTAAGAATTCAAAGCAAGTTCCTGTCACATGCTTGCTTCCAAAGAATAAGCCAGAACCAATTCTAATGACAAAACATCTTCTTCCAGAAATTCCAAGTTCCAGCTCCTCTCCATTTGAACAAAAAGTTTCTGAATCAGTCCCACCTTTAGCACTTCCTGTGAAAGAAGATGTTCCTCGGGCAAGCAATCCAAGGCCCTCTAAAAAAACAAAGTAACTGTGGTTTGTTAAAAGATGGTAACTATCCTCTACATATCTTTTGCGAATAGAATATAGAGGTCTATTCGGTATGTAAATAGTATCTTTTGCGAATAGATTCGGTTATTCGGTATGTAAATACTATGTAACTGCAGTTGACAGCCATCTTTGTATGGTTTCTTTTGGCGTATAGATCATTAAAATCTACTGTATATACACTTTCAAGTTTTCCATATAGTATCTACTGTACATATACTTTCAAGTTTTTATATGAAAAATGGAACTACAGTCTACTTTTTATTATGAAATTTGCGTACTTGAATTACTACTTTATAGTTACTTTACTTTTATTATGAAGTTTTCTTATAGTACAGTCTACTTTTATTATGAAATGTGAATACTTAAATTAGTACTTTATAATTAGTCTACTTTTATTATCAAGTTTGCTTACTTAACTCACTACTTTATAACCATCTTTCTTTGCAACACAATCTTTACAAAATAACTCTGATGTAACCTTCGTTCCATTATCTATAATTTCATTTGAATTATTATATTATGATTAAAAAATTCACAAAGATAATATACCACAACATTGTCGAATGAAACAAATAAGAGATTGCAAACCTGATCGGTCAAATTTCAAAAACTCTTAGACTACAACTTTCCACCATATCTGTCAGCTGCTTTAAGTTCTCATTTCACTTCTTAAAAGCAATAACCTATATGAATGAAAATAAATTTAATAAATAAAGAATAAAATCAAATACCCATTTAACAAATTTATGGATAAAACTCACTTCGGTTGTCCATTTGACAAAGATATCATTTTGGTAGCCCATTTGAAAAATATACAGTAGGATTATTATATTATTAAAATTGTTAATATGATTCATATCCATATCCCTTATGAGCATGCTAAAAAGTATTGGAGTGGCTACAGGCCAAAAATTGTTCAAATCAGAGTTCATGCCAATGCCAATTCCATTGTCATTACCAACACCACACAAAGTCGTGTAACTCCAATTGCAGGTGCGTACCACAACATGCTTCGTGATTTTGTATTTCCAATGTACTTCAATTATATCTTTTTTCTCTTTAAAAGACTATACTTTTAAAGTACAATGCTATATTGCCAATATTTCTAGCAAGGGTATGCTTTGTGATTTTGTATTTCTATATGGGACAAATGGCAGTGTACTTAAATTATATCTTTTCTTTCCTTACAACATTGTACTTTTAAAGTACAATGCTATATTCCCTATATTTTCATCAAGAGTATAAGTGTTGCACATTCTCTTAACACCATGGAATGAAATGCACAAGTTTCAGTAAACACACTATATTTTTACACTTTTACCATTTCTAAAAGAATAAACATTCAACTTAAACTTCTTATAATGACTACACACTTATATAGATATTATCTTTTTACATTGTACTATTTTGGTTTACCATTTCGCTTAACTGTGATAAAACTTTGCTCCGGAATCGACTCTATAGGGCCGTGATTATCACGGCCCTCATCAGGTTCCTAGTATATATATATATATATATATATATATATATAAGACTTGTAAAAATGATGTTGGATATTTTAGATATTAATTCTAAAATATTTTTATCTAGAAAAGTGAAAAATATGAAAATGGTGTAAAAAGGAATGTTTTAATGAAAAACTGAAAAAATGAATGTAAAGTGTCAACAATTTTGAATTTTATTTATACGCGGTAGACCGACCAAATGGAATGGTAGAATGTTGGTGGAGCTTTATAATTACATAATGACAGTTGCTCTCTTATGATACATGCATTTGCTGCTTTATTTTTTAGGCTATGACTTTTGACGAAAATTTTCCAAATTCTCTCTAGTTTCATACATCTTGGAGTGTTAAATGCTAAGAATTTCAAAGGCAAAAATCTTGCACATAATATTTAAATCATCATATGAATGTATTTGATTAAATCCTTTCTTGATGGTGCGAATTCGTTCAAAACTATTATTGTTCAAGTGTAAGAGCATCTACGTGAGCGATCTATTACCTTTTACTATTGTGTTTTAGTGTACTAGTTAGCAAAACTTATACATAGTTTTTAAGAATACACAAAACACTTAAACTATTGCCTTTAGTGGATGTGGATCAACTATGTTTTTTGGACCGATGGAGATGGAGCGTCTATCTACTTCGAAATATATTAAACTCTTAGTATAAAATCCTATCCGATCTTATTCCCTAAACTTTTACTATTTAGCATTTTACATAATAATTATATGGATGATTTTAGTTATCTTGTTAAACTTCTTTATGTAGTTTTAACTTGGATTGGGCTTACAACATAGAAGCGAATCAATCAAGGCTTAACACTTCTCAATAGGCTTGACCCAATGGGCCGCTAGTTACAACTCCATGAACCGGTCTTTTTATATTTGACGAGTTGGGAGCGTAGGCTGTTTTATATATGAAACAATATATATCTCTCGTTTATTTTTATATAAGACAGTGGAATTTACTTATTTAATGGAATAGTTTATTTTTATTGTCTGTTGTTATAACTACACAAAGTCAGACTTATCACTTTCTAAAAAAACAATTCCACATAAAAAATAAAACAATAAATTTTACTGAGTGCTTCATGCTTATATTTCAAATTCTTGCATAAATCAAGGACTACAAATCTAGAGTATTCTTTATTATTATAAAAACATATATTTTGTTTTTATGTGGATAAACTTGTCTCCTACCTACTCATAACATCGTCACGGATTTTTGGGGAGTCCATTTCAAGCAAATAAATAATATCAATAACCATTGGTTAAAAAATGAAAATAAAGACAATTTTGTATGTGATTATATACTATTTAACAAACTGTATAATTATAAAAAGAAACTTATTATTAAATAAAGTTAAATTTATAATAAATATGTATTATCTTGGTCAATGGATGTTGGAGATTCCACACAATTTAATTTAATAATTGTAATAAAAGCACCCCTCATTTCTCTTGTGGCTTTGTTTTATATCAATTATTTGTCCCGAAAACGGAATATATTATATAAAATAAATTATATGTTTTTTTGAATAAGAAAGTCCAAACAGAAACAACTAGAAATGCCATGCTCTAAAGCTTATCCTTATTAAGATTTATTTTTAAGAAGTTTCATTTTGTGTTTTTTAAAAGGAAATGATTTGTATATAATAGTTTTTCTCCTTATATTATAATTTATATTTATAAAGTTATACAATATAACATTTTAAAACATATTAAAATTATTATGTACGGAGAAAAAATATTATGTACATTTTTAGATGATGACGTTTTTAATTAAGTTATATTTGTTTTTATAAGTCTACTTTTAAGATATTCTTACGGTTTTCAATAGCGAAAATTTCTAAGAAAACCGTTAGGGTGAAAAATCTTTGATATAAAAGACCATTAATTTTATATCCAGAAAACTACGAATAATTTGATTTCTCATTCATTTAGTAAACTATCTACCGATTTTATATGTTATAAACATTTACAACAATTTCCGATCAACATATTGTATATTATATTTGTTTTTTTTAAACGGTTGGTTGGTTATTAGAAATTAAATTCACCAAGTTAGTTAATTCGTTTATGTTTGAGTTTAAATCTAAGACCTCCAATCTAAGAAGCTTCGATATTAGCTTATTTTAAACTCTTTTAAATTCTTTGGAAATGAAAAGTTGTTTTAGAGTATATTGTTTTGGACTCCATATAAGTATTAGTAACACACTAACCGAGTTTAGTAGGTAATTAATGATTTAAATGAAAAAAATTCCAAATTATGAATAATTTTTCGGCCAAAGAGATATACTAACTTTGTCAAAAAAAAAAAAAAAAAAAAAGAAAAAAGAAAGAATATAAAAGCTATTTAAAATTTGCCATTTTTAATATTTGCATTATTTAGCTTCTCTAGTCACTCAGTTTTTGGGTATCTCCGACTCACATTGGTTACATAAATTCTTTCTTTTTATAATTCAAAAATTTTATTGGCACCGGCATAATGTAATAATTACAATTTATCAAAATTCATTTTATATAAAAATAAAAATACATTAGAAATTCGTCTCTCTACTCATATGGGATACCACTCTCTTAAAAATATAAATATTGCTTTTAAATCTGACTATTTATTTATTTAGCAATTGAATAATTTTTGTTGTAGCATTTTGTTCCACGTTATCACTAAAAATTTCAATAAATATAATGACGTGTGTTGACCCCAATTCGCAATTGGGCTAACTGGGCCTAGTGATAAGGCCCGACAAGAAAACACATCAGGTGTATCTCTCACGTGTCAGACTTCCCAGTCAAAATCAACATTCTCTGATGGACCACACGTGCCCTTAACCAATCACATGCCAAAGAAGTTACACGTGTGAGGTTACAAGTTAGTCTGGTTTCCTCATGCTTCCCAGCCGTCCAAATTTCAAATTTGGCACATTTCGCGTATCCCCGTTTTGAAGGAAATAAAATCGGGTAAAACTCAATACAATATAAATCCATGATCGGGAAAATTATGTAAAAACCTTTAAGTAATCTTTTTAATTGTATTATAATCGAAATTTTTAAGATTTTTTTTTTCTTTTTAAATTGCGACTGTTTTTACCTCTTGTTATAGGTTTGCATGAAATAGAATTGGGAAAATGACCAATAAATGTAATGAACTCTTGATTTTTTTTCAATTTTTTTTTTATTTTTTATATCATACATCATTCAACTGATTAGGCGTGTTCATGGTTTGTAGGCATGAGCAAACGGACCGAACCGGTTGGAACCGGCCCGACCCGGACCCGACCCCCGGGTCGGGAACCGGCTTCGGCCATGATCAAGAACCGAACCGGCCCGGCGGTTCTACTAGGTCTGGTTTTTGCCGGGTTTTCGATTTTGGAACCGGTCTGATTTGACACGCTTTCTTGTGGGATTTGTAATTCATTCAATTTTTAACCAAATCAAGCGTTTTTATAATCTAAACTTAACTACAAAACCTAA